CCCTGGGACTGCACTGGCTGCGAGCTGTGCGTGCGCATTTGCCCCGCGGATGCACTTACCTTGGGTCCGGCCGAGAAGGCCATTCAGGAAGAGGAGGCCAACTGGAACTTCGCCGTGGCACTGCCGGACCGCGGCGACGAAATTGACAAGACGACGGTGAAGGGCTCCCAGTTTCAGAAACCGTACCCTGGAAAACAGGTGGAAAAAGCCATGCGCCGAATACAGCAGTTTGATTGGTAGCCAAGGTACCTTGAATTCTCGGGGGCGTGCGAGGGCTGTGGTGAGACGCCGCACGTGAAGCTGATGACCCAGCTCTTCGGCGATAGACTCGTCATTGCCAATGCCACAGGCCAGAACCAAAAGCAGGAATCATCAAAAGTGTACTGTTGTCGCAGTCTTGTGTTACTCGTAGCACTCGTGCAGCATTGGCAGGCTGTTCCTCGATCTGGGGTGGCTCCAACCCATCCTTCCCGTACACGACGAACAGCAAAGGAGAGGGCCCCGCCTGGGCAAACTCCTTGTTCGAAGACAATGCTGAGTTCGGCTTCGGCATGCGCAAGGCTCGCCTGCTGTCCTGATTCATAAGGCAAAGCAGCGTGAACCGGTTGAATATATTTCGGCGAGGCCTTCAAGCAGCGCCGCGACTACCTCGCATTGCAAGTGGAGGTCTGCACTCCGTTTGAGCTGAGGGCCGGGTCGAGGGTTTCTTGGCCTGCAGGACACCTTGGCGGATCAGTCCGTGAAGATGTCTGACGAACTGCGCCAGGCCCTGCAGCAGTTCTTGGTGATGCGCAAGGACGCACATCCCTTAACCCGGTTGTCAAGCTCGACCGCCGAACGGGTCCTCGTAGCGGGCAAGGAAAACTGACTGGTCTTATCGACGCTGGCAGGAGCAGATGCACGACCTCTTGCTGCCCAAAGGCCGCAGTGCCTCGTCTGTTCGGCTGGAACAGAATGGCTTGCCCTGGCATGTGCATAGTACCGGCGCATGGCTTGTCGCCGAGGCATCTACCATCAGATCATGGAGAAGCTCGTGCCGCTGCTAGAGAAGGACCTTCGTTATGTGCATATGATCACATGGCCAGGCAGAAAGCTGGCTTATGTCAGGAGAAGGGCACACATCCAAAGATCCACAACCTCTACGACTTGCCACTCGGTGGACCAAGCGGTCACAGTGGCAACATCCGACGTCATCGGTTCAATCTGTACCGTCTTTTTGCAAAACAACGCAAAACAGCTACATGTAGTTGCAGCTACTTTCTAATGCAGCCATTGCACAGCAGAGGGAAGACATGTTCGGCCGCAGCAGCTTCTGGATAGTTGGCGGAGACGGCTGGGCCTACGACATCGGCTACGGTGGCTTGGACCACGTGATTGCCAGCGAGGAGCACGTGAACATCCTCGTCCTGGACACGGAGATGTACAGCAACACGGGCGGTCAGGCGTCCAAGGCAACACCCAAGGGAGCGATGGCCAAGTTTGCCGAGGGTGGCAAGCTTACACAAAAGAAGGACTTGGGGCAGATGGCCATGACGTACAAGAACGTTTACGTCGCGAGCATCTGCGTGCATGTGAACCCTCAGCAAGCTGTGCGAGCTCTGATTGAGGCAGATGCCTATCCAGGCCCCAGCCTCATTCTCTCCTACACCCCGTGCATCAGTCAAGGCTTCCCCATGTCGGAGTCAATCCAGCACTGCCAGATGGCCGTGGACAGCGGCTACTGGCCGCTCTACCGCTACAATCCTGAGGCTGCGGCGCACGGCAACAACCCCTTCCAGCTCGACAGCCGGAAGATCAAGGGCGACCTGTTCAAGCTCCTGGCAAAGGACGGGGTGAGGGGCAGGAAATGCGAAGCCCACGCAGTGGTTCAGATGTCGCAAGAAGCTGTGTCCGTAGGCTTGCCGCTGGGTTGTGAGTTGTGACTGGCTGATGCTGCCATGTCAAACTAAGTTAAACTAAGTGATTGCATGCTTTCTGCGATCACAAGTGCAGCTCTCAGGAGAACCGCTTCGCAGCCGTGATGCGTCGCGACCCAAAGCACGCCGAGGAGTTGGACAACAAGCTGCAAGAAAATGTGGTGCAGAAGAATCACCTGCTGCAGGTCCTGAACAAAGAGGACCTGGAAGGGCAGTTCTCCAAGTTGGTCGAAGGTCTTTCGGATGCGAAGAGCTCGGGCGACTCCATCACAGTGCTATACGGCAGTGAGACCGGCAATGCAGAGGAGCAGGCGAAGAATCTTATGCAAGACCTCATTGCACGTGGACTGAAATCCACCGTGAGCTCCTTGGATGACTTCGAGTTCGATGAGCTACCGAACCAGAAGATTGTCATTTTGGTGGTGTCCACATGCGGACTGGGCGAATATCCGGCCAACTGCAAGCAGACTTGGCTGAAGCTCCAATCTCCGGATCTGCCAATGTCCTGGCTGGCAGGTGTGAAGTTCTGCGTCTTCGGCCTGGGCGACTCCACCTACAGCCAGTTCTGTGTGGCTGCTGCCGGCTTCGACACCCGCTTGGGCGAGCTTGGCGGACAGCGCATGCTGAAGCGCGGCGTGGGCGATGACCGTGATGAGGACAGGTACTACACTGGCTGGGAAGCCTGGCTGCCAGAGCTGTGGAAGGTTCTCGGGGCCCCGGCTTTGCCGCTGAGCCAGGATATCCCTGCACCTTCCTATCGTGTGGATGCATCCGCAGGCGACTTGGCAAAGCCACCCGTCAGCGACGATGACATCATCCCGCCCGGCGCCAACAGACTCACGCTGCTGACCAACAACGTGCTGACAGGTGATGCCAAGTACGATCGTGACATTCGGCATTATGAGTTCAAGATTGAAGGCACCAACGTTGCTTACAAGACAGGCGAGAGCCTTGCCATCTGGCCCCGCAACCCCGAAGACAAGGTCCTGGAGTTCTGTGAGATGATGGGCTTCGATGCCGCGCAGCACCTGAGGATCCTGCCTCTCGAGGGTGCGCGCAACTGGTGTCCTACGGAGCTGAGCGTTCGCCAGCTTTTCTCCCACGTCTTGGACATCTTCGGGAAACCGAACAGGAAGTTCTTCCAGACATTGGCTCTCTTCGCAAAGGACGAGGCAGAGAAGAAGCAGCTCCAAAGCATGGTCGAGAACAGCCAGGAGGGTGCGGCCCTCTACCGCGACTTGACACACGACTTCGCGCACCACGCAGATGTGCTGAAGAAGTTTGCAAGCGCAAGACCTCCTATCGAGCACTTGCTTCAGATGATGCCAGTCCTGAAACCCCGCAGCTATTCGATTGCCAGCTCTCCATTGATGCATCCGGACAAGATCCAGCTGTGCGTGGTGTTGGTGGACTGGACGGTGGAGAGCACCAAGGAACTCCGCCTGGGCGAGTGCACAGGCCATCGGCTTTCGATTCAGCAAGGTCACAGAGTTATGTACGCTTTCGGGTCTAGGAGTTTGGGTTTCAGGGTTGCAGGGTAGAAGGGTTTGGGGCTTAGGCAGCTGTCGAGGCGTGGAAATGCCCCGGACTGTTTCTGGGCCACGTGCTCGAACCCTTCCAAGCCTTGCGTAAACCCTAAAGCATCCTAAACCCCAAACACCTTGTAAAGACCCTTGGAGATCTGTTTCCATTGTGCCCGCGACTTTGCAAGTGCCTTTTGAGTCTAAGTTGCTTGCATCGTTGAGAAGTTCAGCGTTCGTGCAGCCATATGGGACGCCAGGCTACATGCAGCAGCAGAAGCCGGGAGCCCAAATCATGTGCGCCGTGCGATCGAGCGCCATTGTGCTGCCCAAGGACGCCGCGGCTGCAAGCATAAGCGCACCTCCAGCTGAGCTGTGAGTGCTGGAGTTGTTAGGAGCCGGAGAAACCTGTCATCATGGCGGGCATGGGCACGGGATTGGCCCCGTGGCGCGCTGTCACCCAGGAGCTTTCTTGCAGTCCTTTCTGCATTCTGTGAGCCAGCTGTCTGATCTGATGTTGCCAGGAGCGAGTGATGCAAGCCAGGCAGGGGCT